CTCTTCTTTGATGGGCACTCGGATCCTGTTCTTCAATGCAAAAACTGGTGACTTAGGAACAGTGGCTGGAATTACCTTTTCAGGAACACCCACAACATCTTCCAAGATCTTAGTAGGGCAAGGTCTGGAATGAAATTCAAATTGTTCATCTTCTGTTTTTTTTTTCGCGGTCTCTTGGGCAAGATGGGGCCACCTTCAAAAATTCTGGGATCAAGTTCCAGTGCTTTGAATTTGTATTGTTGCAGCTTCTCAAGCTCCTCAGCCTCCTGCTCAGCTGCACTTTTGCAGGTCACAACCCTTGCACGATATTTGGTCTGCAGTATGGGGGTCTGTGGGTCTCGTGCAATCTTGTTCACAGGTTTGGAGGGTAACAAGCTCTCGTCCTTCTTGTTCCTCAGATGGTATCTATTAGGGGTTCGTTTGTGGAACGCTTCAATCTGCTGTGCAATGGGCACATATGTAGAAGCTGCTTCGTCAAATGTTCTTTTCTTTCCTTTGGAAAGATTGAAAGGCTTAATGATAGTACATCCTCTGGTTCCTCGGGTAGGAGAGGAAGGATGCTTCTGAAGTTCAGATATGAAGTTGACTTCCTTATACTCTTCCTAGTTCTTGGGTTGCTGTTTGACTCGCTCATCTGTGAAGAAGTGGAAGTCAACTGTTTTGGTAACCTGACTTGTGGATTTCTTCACAGGTTGCCCTAGCCCTGCGAGAACGAGCTTCTTGAACTCTTTGTTCTTCCTCCGCATCTCCACCACTTCCTGCTGCATTCTCAGCCTTTTCTCTATCTCCTGCTCTTCAGTACTCTTTAGAACCTTCTCCCTTGCAGGTGGCATACCAGGCACAGTGTGTTTGCTCTTAGCTTTCTCCAGGGTTTCTCTTTCATCCTTTCTTGAAGTAGCTGAAACACTGCCTTCCTCCTCTTCCTTTGGTTTCTTTTTATGAGAAACTTTCATTCTTTTGTTGTGGGGACAGTCAGCAGCAGGAGCAGTGCATCTCTTGGCTTTCATTTCAACAGAGGCAACATGGTTTTTTTCTTTCTGCTCCAAATCCTTCTGAGCAGAGAGTCTAACAGATCTTCTCTGAGGCTAGACAGGAGTATTTCTTGATATGGCTCATCAATCATTTGATGGGATAGACTGTTTCTGAAGATTTTCCTTTTATGCTGTTTGTATCTAATGTTGGCCCTCTAATTTCTTAAGAGTCCCACTGTACTGTTATTTTTCTATCTGTTGCCCATGAGATTAATAACTACAACAATAAAACTCCCTGAAACCCATTTCAGTGTTTTCTTGAATTCTTTTTTTTTTTTTTACAAAATCTAACATGATTTTATAATATTTTTCTACCACCAACAATTTTAATTCATGCTGCTAAACACATTCATACATGCATGTTTTCCTTTAGTAACACTATATCTCATGTCCATTATTTCTACTTGTTTACTGGGCACCATTAACTTTCACCTACACAGAATGTTCTCTTTCCAATAATTATTTCTATGTCTGTATTAGCAATGGTTCCTTTCTAATTAAAAGAAAAACATGTGTTTCCTTACTAATTGAAAGTATAAAATTTACAAACTTTTCATTTTTGAGACTATAAAATTTTACCTTCTCATAAAAGTACATAATATGACTTGAAAATGCTAATAAAATTGTATGTATAATGTAGAATATTGATTTTTACAATTTCATTAAAACATACAGTTTTCACTTTGTTATATGTCTTATACTAATTATCATATTTATACTGGTAAAATATAAATGTCTAGAATGCACAATTGATTTAGACTAGACTATAATTCTGATAGTATGAATACACTTCCATGTTTTTTGCTAATGTGAATAATGTCAATCAAGTATACATAATAAACATCTACAGTTTAACTCTAATGTCCACAATAGACTTTGATTTAATAACATTGAGTTATGTTGGATACTGATAGTAAAGGAGACACTAAGATTGTGAAGGAAGATAATAAATGAAAACCTGTTTCAAATATTCAGTGACCATTTGTTCACTTGCTTTAAAATGTTAAGTATTTTCTAAAGGCTTTTTCTGAATCAAATAAAGTGAACATGTAGACTTTTCTTTCAGTTTGTTTATTTGATAAAATACTTAGATGGATATTTATATGATTAAATATCTCTGTTAAAACATGTGTCAAAATTCAACACCCTTTCACAATTAATGTGAAAGAGATATCGGGGATACAAGGCATATACCTCAAGAAAATAAAGGCAATGTACAGAAAGCCAATAGCCAACATAAAATTAAACAAAATGTAACCAAATTAATAAGGGCCAAGACAAGATTGCCCACTCCATTCATATCCGTTCACTATTGCACTATGAAGTTATTGTCATAACAATAGGACACTAAATATCATAGAAGATAAGGTAGGGTATAACCTGAATGAATTGGCACAGGAGACAACTTCCTGCAGCAACGCTCATAGCTCCAGCACTAAGATTATCAATTAAAAAATGGGACCTCCTGAAGCTGAACACTTTCTGGAAGGCACAGGGCACTGTCAAAAGGACAGCAAAACAGCATACAGAATGGGTAACGATCTTCACTAACCCTATATCTGAAAAGTAGCTAATACAAAAATATTTAAAAAGCTAAGAAATTAGACATCAGCAAAACAAATAATACAATAAAAAGCTAAGAAATTAGACATCAGTAAAACAAATAATACAATAAAAAGCTAAGAAATTAGACATCAGCAAAACAAACAATCCAACTTTTAAAATAGAATACAGATGTAAACCAAGAATTCTTGAAAGAGAAATTCCTAATGATCAAAAACAATTAAAAAATATTCAAAACCCTTAGTTATGAGGGGAACACAAATCAAAACTAAGATAAGATTCCACCTTATACACATCAGAATAGCTAAGACTAAAAACTCAAGAATAAGCTCATACTGGCTAGGAAGTTGAGCAAGGGGAACCCTCCTCCATTGCTAGTTGGAGTGGAGTGTAAACTTGTACAACCACTTTGGAAATTAATTTGACAGTTTCTCAAAAAATTGGGGATAGATATATCTCAAGTTCTAACTATACCATCCTTGGGCATATACATAAAGTATACTCCACCATACCACACGGACACATGCTTAGCTACTATTATATAACATTTATTCATAATAACCAGAAACCAGAAACAGCCTAAACACCCCTCAACTGAAAAAAAAATTAAGAAAATATGGTACTATTATACAACGGAATATTAATCAGCAACTAAAAACAATGGCTTCATGAAATTTGCAGGTAAATTATAGGAACTAAAACTGATTATCCTGAGTGAGATAACCCAGATCTAGAAAGACAAACATTGTATGTATTCACTTAAAAGTGAACATTAGCCATAAGATTCAGGATATCCATGCTACAACCCACAGTCCCAAAAAAAGGCTAAGTAAGGAGGAAGGTTGAAAGGGGTACTCTTCAATCTCACTGAGAAGGGAAAATAAAATAGACATCTTTCAGACTGGAGAGAGGAAGGAAAGTTACTGTAGGAGCAGGAGACACATACAGGATGAATAAGGTGGAGAGAACCTAGAGGGAAAGAGTACAGGGAGAACCAACTGAAATCACTGAGGAAGGGTGACTCTCTGCAATGAACTAGAAACTTAGAACAATGGAAACTCCCAGGAATTTATGAGGGTAAAACTCTAGCCTGGACTCCTAAGAGGGAGTCCTATGGAATATGGAATCTGAAACAGCCATCTGCTATAACTAGTCAAGTCTTTCCATGAGGAATGGGACATCAACTCAGACACAAAACACTCAGCCCTAAATTTGCCATGCATACAATATGTGCAGGGGCAAAAACTAAGTATAAAATTAAGGAAACGGGCAGCTAATGCTTGTCCCAGCTTGAGAATCATTCCATGAGAGAAAAGTAACTCTTAATACTATGAATGATATATTTAGATATATAATGATATACTGACATACTTGCAGATAGGAAGGTAATATAACTGCCATCAAAGAGGTGTCACTTAGCAGCTAATAGAAACAAATGCAGACACCAACAGACTAATATTAGGCAGAGCTTGCGGAATCCTGTATAAGTGGGGAAGAAAACTGAATGAATAAAAAGGGTCACGATCAGCACACACACACACACACACACACACACACACACACACACACA